GTTGCCAGCAAAATTTTGAGAAAAAAGTAGGAGTATTCTCGATAAGTTCCGGAAAATTCGGAAAAACGTAGGAAGTTTGAAAATTTCAAGGAACAGGGAGATAGCATGAAGCAGGAGGGGATCGTATTTTCCTCGCGGTTCTCCAAATTCACATGTGCTATATACCTCGACAGCTTGATCGTTTCAGAGGACGGAACTAAGGGAAGGTCGTATCAATCCATCTTCTAGGGGGAGGGGGTCGCACGGACTCGACCAGTATTCCCATCCAGTGATGTGCCCTAATCTCAGTTCAGTTCACCCTGACAGTTCTGACAGATTTTTGCCAGTTATACCTGGCGGAATTCCTTCACTCTGGCACGAGCGGTTGGTTCACGATCGCAGCCCCCCCCCCCCTCCCCCCTCCCCCTTACATTTTGTCATTTCATCCCCATGTCATTATTTCGTCAACCCTCCTCACTGGTAAGTACCAGGGTTGACAAAATACGACAAAATAACACCAATACGTCTGAGCTCAGGCAAAAAACGACCTTTCTGTGTTTGCAGTTTTTCAAGTCATCTTATTTATTCTTTACTAGCTATATAGTGCAGTCTTGTCGTTAACGTGGTCAGTCTAGAGATGAAACGAGTTCGCAGCATGAAAAGTGTAGATAAGCGGGAAAGGTAGTATAAAACAGTGGAATAGACGAATAGTGGCATTACATAAGGACGAACACCCAAAAAGACGCATTCGCCGGAGAGCAAGTTTGTGCTCGAATAGGAGGGAAGAGCGCGGCTGCCCCAGTGAGTCGAGCTAAAAGAAACGTCCTTATATAGCTTCCCGATATTCCTTATATTAGTCGCCTGAATACTTCACTCATAATGAAAGAGTGTCCAAACATTTTAGCGTGGTAAGGGCTTGTTGCCCTTTCCGCCTTCGTTGACTCTGTTGGGTTAAACCTTGTTTGTTCTCCTATTCACATGGGAATCTTTTCTTCTGCATTTCTTTGATGATACAACGAGACGCAATTAGCAGAAAGGGAGGAAGTTCTAATTGTTCGCAAGGCGGCTGTTGCAGTGTCTAAAAGGCACTAGTCGTCTGGTGTGCCCGCGTTCCACATTGCGATATCCCGACTTTACTTGATTGCTTGACCAAGCACTGCCACAACGTCTAAACGACACAATGCAATTTTCGCTGCTCTCGTCCTTCTCTTCATCGCTTGGCATGTCACATTTATGTGATGGCATGACATTACTCCCGGCCTCCGTCACTGGACAGATGATGTCTCATACTTGTTCTCTACTTGAGCTATTTGTTTCCCATGAGCATTATGTTTTTCCTTGATAGCTCCGTTTGTACTCCTGGCCATTCGTCACATTTTCACTATACACAGTATCGGGCGGCAACGTCTAAACAGGAACCTGGGAGCTTTTTTTTCTCGAAAAAGAAGGGACAAATTGGAGTGGTTCTTATGCTTCATTATGCGTCTCAGAAAAGCCCCTTAGGGTGATTCAAGAGTGCAAGCTGTCTTAATCCGCTGAAATTGCCAGCTGTTAGGTGGCTGTTTGCGCTAAAAATCTTTTTGAAGTTGTAGTTTGTTACCTGTTTATTCTTTTCGAGCTTGAGGGAGAACTTTTATTTGGTAATTTGACGTTTCGACTGAATAGTCGTTTTCAGAAATGTGGTTAAGATTTGCTCCTACTTAGCACTCTGGTAAGGCCACGGACTTTCAAACGGTGGATCCGTCGGCGTCTGAAGGCGCTTCAGTCGTCACGTCAAGCTATTGAATAAATGTTCCGTCTCCAACTCAACTCCCGAAGCTTTGAAAACATATGAAACCGTAAACAGTTTCCCGTTGAAACGCATCTGAAATCAGTGTATGTTCTTATGTCCTCTGAAATAAGTGATACTCTCTGCCGAAGCGCTTCCTGAATGGAGAGACTTTGCCATCGCGGTGGAAGTTTTTCGAATTGATTGAGGTACTTTTGAAACTGAATCGGACATCTTTCAAACCGCAACGAACCATTTTCAATACGAATCAGGACACAATCTTCACATCAGACTGTTATTTAATTAGACCACACTGAGTACTGCAGCAAGCCCCTCCCGAACACCCCCGACAGCTTTCGAAAGATGGTCCAAATGACAGTATAGAGTGTCAGCTGGCCAGAGTTCTCCTCGTCGCCCAGGACGAAAAAGTGGGCAAAGCTTGATCTGGTCGGAGCTTTGCGGAAAGGCGAACATTCTCATAGTAAGCGGCACTACCTGTTGCAGCCTTGAATGATGAGATTTTCGAAGGAAAGGTTTAAATTCTGCAGAAAGATGCAAAAGTGGGCGTGTCGGGAGGGGCGGAGCTTAGTATATCAGTGTATGGATGCGTTTCCATGATACGAAAAAATTTATGCAAATCCAAAATTTTCAACAGCTTCATCGGAAAATAGGCGGAGTCGCATGTGTTTCGATATATTATTTTCAGTTGACGTGTATGTGCGAAATAGCAAAAAGCAATAAAGTCATAGAGGCAGAATTCATAAAGGCATGAGTCCATGAGCTGAAAACTGGCGAGGATTGTCGTGCAGTACCTGGTGTGGTTTATTGACAGCCGTCCTATGTGACGAGTGTCTCCGATTTGGTTTGACAAGTGTCCATTTTGGCTTGAAGAATGTATGGTTAGGTTTCAAAAGAGTGCGATTTAAAGATAGCTACCGCGATAAAAGTGTCATGGATAGTTGCTTTTCATTTTCAATTCAATTATGAAACAGTAGCTGATAAGTAATCCCTAAAGAAGAAAAAAAGCAAGAAGAGTCCTCAAGAACACCATAAAAAATCGCTCCCTGACAGTCACACCTCCCTGCGGTCTCTGTGCAACCCCTGGCTCACAAATCCCTTTATCACATCTCCCAGTAGTGGATATCATCCAATGCAAAGAAAAGAATACGAAAAACAACAAAAACACGGAAGAAAAACTCTTGAAAAGGAAAAGAAACTTTCAAAAACTCGGCGTCCGAATTTAGGGTTACGGTAGCGTGCATCTTTTAGTGTAGTGTAGTGCGTCGAGCTTTTGCACCACGAAAATTGGGTCGCTCGTGATTTTTACGCGTTTTACCTTGCGAGATGGGTTGGAGTTGACTGTATGTGCTCCTAATGAATAAAATGTAATAAAGGAGAGCAGAATCATTCATGGGCACGAGCGCGGTCAGCAAAAAGGGCATGCAATTCCGATTAATGCCCGCCGCCCAACAAAGAACAACTGAGCGGTCAGAGGGCATCTAGCAAGTGGGCGGTCCAACTGGCGGGCGTTAGAACTAGAACTTTCAGCGGCTGTAGCTCGCTAATCGCTCGCTGTGGAGTTGCGAGAGTGGGACAGTCTCTAGCTTGGGGGCTTACTACTTGCACAAGGAAGGACGACCATGCACTACTTGAGCGCGGGTCTGTATGTAGCGACAAGCTGATATTTATAGATGCAGTAAAAATGCTATTCTGAAAAGGCATTATATTGTTTCAATTATTCTTCCCATTTTTACTACTCAAAACAACAGAAGTCCCTATTCAGCGCTGAAAAAGCCACTAGAAAGCTACTGTGCGCAACTTTGTGCTAAAAGAGGGGGGGGAGGAACGATTTCAAGGGATCATGGCAATGCTGAACGACTAAATATCAGGGCAAGGTTGAGGATAATAGTGCTGAACATATTCTGCTTTATCTTGTTGCTGCAATTCTGGAATTCAGATATGTAAAAAAAATAGGTTCCCGTCTTGCAGTGCCTGGCAGCATCTCAAAAACCACAGACAAGACTTCGGTTTTTGTGAAATAAATTATCAGGACCCGCTTGTATAACACAAGGTTAAGATTTTCTTGAAGTGTCTGTACAGCGTAGCATTGAAATTCTGGGATTATCTTAATTGATGTGTTAAGCTACTTTTCAAATTTAGTAACGTCCATATCTATATCTATCATCTTTTATCACTACCACTCACCGTCGTCCAGATGGCAGAAATCAGTATCCCTATTTCGCTATCCCTATTTAGTTTTCTTCATGGACATCTGTGGTTCTCTGTGTATTCTGTGAAACGTGAAAACAATTTTGGGGCTCCATTCATAAATAATCTGACGCCAGCGATCCACATGTCGCTTGCTCGATCATATGAAAAAGTTATTGCGCACAAATAGTCAGTTTTCACCATACTCCCTCTTTGATTACGGATGTTTTATCGATGTACATGCTGCCACGCTCCTTTCTGAATGACTAATACGAGCCCGTTCAAAGTTTTCGGTATTGGGATTATTTAGCAATGACGAAGGAATCAATCATTCCACTAATTGTAAGTAACGACATTCCCTGAGGGTATAAATACAAAATTTCATTTAGTTATCATCAATGCTATTCTAGTTATCCTTGGTGAAAGAAGACCAGAATGACTGATGCGACAATGTTGAGAAAATGATTACTGATTAAAAAATGAGAAAAATGAAAAGAAAATTGAGAAAATGATCTTTGATTACTTCTTGTTCCCAGTATAAAAAATTTTTTGTGGAAACTGTTTTTCTGACTATGAACAGCTGAAGGCGGCAATTAATGCACATTTCGGGAACACGGAGGAAAAATATTTCCCAGAGGTTAAAGCAAGTGTATTGAGGTTACGGGGACTACATCGAAAAATAATTTTGTTTAGGACTTTCTCCCTCTTCCTTCATGCCTATACCTAGAATACACTGAACACCCTTCGTAGTAGTAGAGAGAAATTTTCTGCAGTAAGAGATTTGCGTAGCGATATTGTTTGTAGTGAACCTGTGAGCGATATCTTGGATTGCGGATTATGGTTAATGTCATCATGCCATTTTTCGCATTTTTCCCCCTCCCCTTTTCGTCACCAGATTAAGTTAAATTACTATTCTATTCTTCCGGAATAGATAAACTAGCTGTTACTACTTTTAGCTTCCAGTGTATCCTGAAAAATTGAGTTTCAGATCGATTATCCTGACGTACCAGTCATCGCAGCTCCATCATCTCCGCATCTGAAGCAGATGCGCAAAAGCGTGCACTGCATGGATGCGGATACTCGTGCCATGCCACCTCCTCCTGTACCTCCTCGACCACCTCGTTTCCCACCAGCTCGTTTACCAGCTCCTCCAGTTCCAAGGGGTCTACCGAGGTGACTGCGTTAGAATGCTCTATAATTCATGGATCTTAACCATTGCCCTATAAGTGTACTATATTTTATTTTATTAGGTCATATCCAGTTGAGTTTCCCATTGATGTCCCGTCAACGTCAACCTATTCCTCCTGTACAGAAAACCACAGAAGTCAGGTCAGCGCTTTGCCAAGCAATTTTTTTAGATTTATTGATTTTAGGCTTGGTTTCTGGTTCGCTGTGCATGATAACTGTAATGTATTCTTTTAATCCAGGTATACTTGAACGGTTTAATGTCCGATGAGGATACTCTGGTTCGAGTGAAACACCGTCGTGAAAAAAGTAATTCGATGAGTAACGTCTCGAATGGTGCTGCTCGTCGTCTTCGCGTCAGGAGGTTGTCGGTTCATGTACTAATTGTGCAATCTTTATTTGACTATTTCTATGATTGCAGCACTGCGTCATCAACGACGACTGAGGGTGACGATGCCAGTGGCAGTGCAGGTGTAGATGGTGTAGAATCAGAAGAGGAAGACGACGATGGATCCTGTCCTTCCCACGAGAGTTTTGTCGATTTGAAGGACTCTGTTCGTGAATGTTTAGAGAAGGAGCCTAGCGAACGTAACGGAGAAGATTTAGCAGTTTTATTGGTGACATTTTCGGGATCTATCGAATGAAATATTTCATAAAAGTTTTGTAATTTTCAGGATTTTATGCAACACATGTCGTCATTTGCTTCTCTTCCTATGTCCATAAAGCGGCAGTTGTGCTTGAAAATGGTGTTTGCCGTTGTGAACGATGCTGGTACCGTGGTCATGCATCACAACGAAAAACTTGATGCCTGGTATGTTCTTCGCTCGTTTCAAGCTTAGAAAGCTGAGTCAGGCAGCGTTCAGACTTATGGCGGCATTTTTGGTCGTGCGTTCGACGCGATCGATCGATAACATGCATTCGACTGCGTCCATCGCGCATTCACGATTGTCAGACGCACTCAATAGTATGCGCGATCGATCGCGTCGAACGCGCTGCCGAAAATGCTCCCGTCGCAACGAGTAAACGCTTTTCAGAGACAGAAATCCCCTGTAGCTGGACTCGGTCAATTTCAATGTTATAGGTCCGTGATCGTTAACGGGCTCGTGGAGGTGGTGAAGCCGAACGGTGAAAGGGTCGAGTATAAACTGGGTGACTCTTTTGGTGCTGAACCAAATCCAGCAGTTCAATATCATGTTGGAGAAATGCGTACAATGGTTGATGACTGCGAGTTCGTCTTGGTGGAACAAGCAGGTAAAAATCGCCCTTTAGATTTTGAAAGTGCAGTATGACGCCGTAACACATTGCACATATTCATCGTAAATTTTGTTTCTCTCTATAGTTATGAAGTGCAGCTCTCTTGGGTTTACTTAGGCTGCGTTTATACTTTGCGGCAGCGTAGCGTAGCGCTTCCAGCGTACGCCAGCGGCAGTGCCGAGGAGAGAGGATGCATATCGATCTAGCTTCACCAGCGGCACGCTGGCGTAGCGAGGGCACGGGAAGCATAGCTATCGATCTAGCTTCACCAGCGTTTCTCCAGCGTTTTCCCAGCGCTTGCAGCGACGGGGCTAGAGAGGGGCTAGAGAGCACTGGACGGAGGAGAGTACAAAGTACTCCGTTCAGTGCTCTCTAGCCCCTCTCTAGCCCCGTCGCTGCAAGCGCTAGCGGGGCTAGAGAGCACTGAACGGAGGAGAGTACTGGAAGCGCTGGGAAAACGCTGGAGAAACGCTGGTGAAGCTAGATCGATAGCTATGCTTCCCGTGCCCTCGCTACGCCAGCGTGCGCTGGTGACGCTGGTGAAGCTAGATCGATATGCATCCTCTCCCGGCACTGCCGCTGGCGTACGCTGGAAGCGCTACGCTACGCTGCCGCAAAGTATAAACGCAGCCTTATTGGTTCGAGCCATTGACCGTTTCTCATTTACATGTTTCTCAGGATTTCTGCTCAATCATGTCCACGATTAGTGAACATATTGAGAAAGATCGCGACGGATTGACAGGAGAAGTTGTATCAGAAACGGAAAGAAGAACTGTGGGAAGTCAAGTTGGCCTTGTTCTCATCAAAGGAAAGGTTCGTTAAGCTCGTGAAAGGTGCCATGAATCAAATGAATTTGCTAGTTCAGCCGGACAAACTTATTCAACACCTAGTGGATGAACGTGACAGTAATGTGGACCCGCATTATGTTGACGATTTTCTGCTCACGTATAGGGTCTTCATCCACAATCCTACCATTATATTCGAGAAACTCATGATGTGGTTTGCTGATGGAGCCTTGAGAGATAAGGTAAAGCTTTTGTTCAATCTCTTCTGTCCTCCTAATTCATTCTCTGCACCCAGCTGTAGGCTTCACATTTCGGCTTAGTTTTCTATCATCGCAGTCCTTATATTCTCTTTATCTCGTAATTGAGAGGTTTTGCGTGCTGCCGCAATGTGTTGTAAAATGTACTAAAGAGCTCGCTCGGTCATCCTTCTTCTATAAATTTTCGCTCACATTATCCATTTCCCGCCACAGCCGTCGATGAGAAAAGCTTAGATTTTGGAGCTTTTGTCGCCCATTGTAATCCATTAGTAATA